GGGCGGGGGCAGCCAGCGGGTGACATTGTGCGTGGCACTGCATATCCCAGGAGTGCTGCGCTGGGTGGGGTGTTCGAGACGGAAAGACAAAAGGTCTAGTTAGTGCCAAGGACGTTCACACGAAACTGTTGAATAGGTTGGGGATACAGATTCTTTGTTCCACAGGAAATGTCAGTGATCTTTTGCAAAACAACCGTTTGTTTTTCTTGCTCTTTTACTATCTGGAATGGAGTCATATTTCAATACTTTGTATAAGCTGGACTTCAGGCCTCTGACAGGAATGCAAGTTTGAATGCAAGGCTTCCTTTATTTACTCCCTTTTAGTGTTAGCTCTGCTGTTGTGCTTCAGTCCTGACATCCTGATTATCTAGTTAGAGACTCCGAAGTGAGCAGTTCCTTGCCCTTGGGCAGAACGTTTTGGTTTGGCCTTTTTTTTAGAGGCAGGCTAACTGCATGTGAAATTTCCACCTGCTGCCCGCATCTTTCGGGTGCCCTCCCCATGGAGAGGTGGTATGCTGAGGAGAAACAAAGCGGCTGTAGATTTCATTTGGGATAGAACCCAAGTGCCTTAGTGTGAGATATTAACTGCAATGACTAGCAAAGCATCTGAAAAGGCAGAGAGGAGAAGTCAGGCCATTCCGTCCGTCCTTTGTAACGCTGCTAATAGAGAAGACACCGGAATGGGAATCTTTCAGACTGAGTAGGATGCAGCTAAGTAGACACCCTTGGTAACTGAATGGAAATGTGCTACTCCCGTGCTGGCAGATTTACCCACACCTAAAAGGACTATGATCATCGTGTTCCTACTTCACTATCAGTTCTGCGTTTTGTTTTTGGCTGGTGTCTTACCCTTTGACAGTAGAGGGCAAGCTGTCACCAGACCTGTTGGAGACAAACCCTTAGGGAAAGCCATTTTTAACCAGTGGTAGTTTTCTATCAGGAATTACCGTGGTGAATCTACTGTCTGCATATACAAAGTGCTAATCCCACATTTTTTTTGACATCTTGTTTTTTCATACAGTCCTAAGGGCTGCCCTCTCCACCTACAGCAACCATGGTGTTTTGTGATACGTAAGAATTACAGTGCTGTAATTTTCTAACCGAGTGCGTACCTGTTGTTTTACAGACTGACCACGCTGTGCCTGTAGAAAAGAGTATACAAGGCACTGTTTGTAGTAAAGCATGTGTAACCTGATCATATTTCAGGTATCTGCAGTAAGAACTGAGGATCTCAAGGTCTGTACGGAGGATTTGCACAAAGTCCTCTCTGAAGTCCAGGAAATGAGGGAGCAGCAGAACAACATGGATGTCAGACTGGCTAACATGAAGAGGTAGACTCCCTCTGTTTCGGAGGCACTTGTACATTGAATGTTGCTTGTGTCTAATGGAGCTTGGCTCTGAATGTGGCTTTCGTTTCAACTGGAAACAGGTGAAGCTATATTTGTTCCTGAGAATCCCCATTCCACCCCACACAACGTTCTGAATCATGTTTGCTTTTATAGTTCAGCTACAGACCAGAGATTAAGACTGGGTGTTTGTTGACTACCTTGAGATTCCATTTTGGTTGCCATCACTGGTAGTGTTTTTTCAGGGCCATCAAAGCATTTCCTTTTCTAAACATGAAGCAGGGTCAGATGCAGTGAGGGAGAGTTAGCCTGTGGTTTTCTTTCTGATTGGAAGTGGACTTCGCGCAGTTCCTCAGATCCTTTTTGTATAGGCACTGGTAATTCATTTGGATTATTGGTATGCAAGCAGGTATGCACCAAAGTTCAGGAGATACCTTCACCCCACTCCCTCTGTTCCTTTAAAAATCCTCAACTAACCAACCAAACAGAAAAACCCCTCAAACACAAACGTTGAAACTGCTGTGGTCTGTGTTGCACTTGGCCTCTTCCTGAACACCAAGTCTTTATTCGAAGGCTTTGAGGCTTTGAAGGAATACCACAGATCACTGGTGGAGCAGCAGAGGATGAGAATGTCCTTATTAGCGAGTGCTTGGTCCTGCCTGATGGAAAATAGAGTTAATTTAACTCAGGGTTTGTGCTAGTGGATCGGATTAACTGATGGTTAGTTATCCACAGAAGGAATGTTGCCGTTGGTCCTGCAAGGTACTGTGAAAGTTTGAAAGCTGTAAAACTAAAGCATATAAAGTAAACTCTGTTCATCCTCTGTCTTCTGATTTATTCTGCATTGCAGAGAAAATAAGGCCCTGTGGAAAGAAGTGGCAGTTCTAAGGCAGAAGCACAGTCAACAACAGAAGCTGCTGTCTAAGGTACCATTGCAGCATCTTCAGTGCTACCATCCTTACTCCTGCCTCTGTGACACCTGATGGCATTCTTTGCTTATGTAGAATGACAAATGACACAGAGCTGAACAGGCTATACTAATACAGCATACAGAAAATGTTCACAGTTCCCGAGTGTCCCAGAAGTAGCGCAGCAAAGAACTACGAGCAAAATACTGAGGAAAAGCTGTAGTGAAAAGGATTTCGATGTGTTTGGAATCTCTGTGAATCTTATGGGGAGAGTAATCAGTAAACCAAGCTGGCCCGGGGTAAACGTGGGGCTGGAGGCAGAGCATGGTAACAGGAGCCTAAAACAAGAGGTTGCAGGCACATGGAATGGAGTCTGTGAAAGATCTTGGACCAGGACAGACCACTCAAGAAGTAAGCCTGGAACCCAGAAACTGTAGGAGCTTCTGCACTGGAACAAACTTTCTCTGGTTTATCCTGCAGCTGTTTCTGGTCTGGAATTCTCTAGTGACTTGCGGTGTTTTATTACTTCTTTTTTTAAAAGAACAATAAAAAACAACAAAAAAATCCCACAAGTGTCCAAGTGGGATAATTTTTCAATGCCGTTTTTAACTATAATTTTGGTTTTTAAGACATGAACACAAATGGATTTTTAATTTGCCTATTAATTTCAGTCACATAACTACGTATTTTTGTAGTGAAATCTGAACTAATGATTTAATGCTAGGATTGCTATGCTGACCACTTGGTTTTTGGTGTTTTGTTTTTCCTTTTCAGATTCTTCAGTTTATACTAAGTTTGATGCGAGGAAATTACATTGTTGGGGTCAAAAGAAAAAGGTAATTACTGGATAGGTCACCAATCAGTACCAGATGTGATTTTTAGGGATAAGCCAGCTTCTAGAACCAAGGTGCTTTCCTTAAAGTGTATGAAGAAGGTTTTTATCACTCGTATATTCACTTTTGGGAGCGCTGATGGAAGTTGAGTAGAGCATGAAATAAACTTTTCCTCTTCATTATCACTGAAAATATGGGCGGTAAGAGAATATGCTCTGCGTTTTCAGTTTCGAAGGCCACAGTTTTTCAGAAATAGTAACTCTTCCAAAATGTGCAAACGTGACTGGCTTATTCAAAACAAAGAGCACGTTTAGAACACAACCTGTCTGCAGTACACTTACACAAAAACATTTCCAAAAACCTGTTTTCTTGGAAGTGGAAGGATAATTGTTATTGCCATTACTGCACATTTTACAGAGGGTCTGTCTACTAAAGATGTGTTTTGTCTTAGGTCTCTGACGGATGCTGCAGGCGCTTCACCTTCCAAGTACAGTCGTCAGTACGTTCGCATACCGGTGGAGAGTGGCCAGGCAGTAAGTCTTCCTGGGGAGGGAGACGGAGGGTGGGACAAGGTGATGCACGGTGACCTCGAAGTCTGCTTTATAACTGTTGATACCCTCATCTTATGGTCAAATGCACTGCAGTCTGAAATGGGCAACTTGAAAGCATTGCTCTGTAAGATCATGCCAGTCAGTGCAAGTAGTCAAAGATGGGATCTGAGCAGGAAAGAGAAGCTGCAAAAAGAACGGGGCTTCCACTTGAGGAAAAGGCGGACCTTCTGGTTTAGTCCTTCTCTCCACTGTGTCCTGCAGATGGCTTTTTCTGAACATGGTGCAGAGGATGAGGATGGAAATGGTACGGGCCTTATCATTCGAGACATCACTGATACCCTGGAAAATGCCACCGATGGTCTCCTTCCTCTGGCACACACAAGTGGCAGAGCCAGGTACGTGGAATCGTAGAGTCGTAGAATCAACGGCCTAGGTTGGAAGGGACCTTAGAGATCATCTAATGCAACCTCCCTGCCACAGGTGAAGGATGTGGAAGTATTTATGCTCAGGTGGTTAACTGGGTAGTTACATTAGTGTAAGTGATCCGTCTGTGTTCTGGGAAACAGGCTCTGCACTGCTACCCTGTGCACGACAGGCCTGTTTGCAGGCCATCCCTTTTACAGCGCGTAGCATTGGTCGTGACCAGCAAAGGTTTGTAAGAGCTTGTATCTATGAGGAGTGCCTGAAGGCCCGTCCAGCTGATCGGCGCTTGAAGTGTTGTTTTGCCGAGGCTTTGCTGTCTAGTCAACAAATAAGCATGTACGTAAACTCTTTGACGCATCAGGGACCTGAATGCATATGTAGGTTACTAATAAACCAAGAGGTGTAGTTTTATCCCCAGTCTTGGTACTGCGCTCACTAATATTACGCTCAGCATAACTGAAGGGAAGGCATTCTTTTGTGTGGCACCAGATTCTTGCAAAAACCCATTTAGGTGTTAACATCTCAAGCGAGATATGGACCAGTTCGGAGTCTTTCATTTCCAGAGACACAATGTTAAAGAGTTTCCATCCTGCCTAATTTCTGTGCAGTATTGTCCTGCTTTTGTCCTGGCAAAATGGGGTGTTTTGCTCTGACATGTGCTATCCATATAAGCTGTAATAAGAAATTCTTCATCCGCCTTTAGGAAGGCACTTTTTTCTTCTTTTTCTGAGGACCAATTGGTTTGAGCCCTTGACTGGCTTGCCCTTGCGAGGTATTAAGATTGGAGGTACTAAAGGTGAAATGAGTAGTAATACGGCTGACGAATTCTCCTGAGTGTTGTTTCTCTTTGGATCACGTTTTAGAGAAACACAGGCAGCTCTGGATCCTGGCTTACCTATTTGCCAAGTATCGCAGACAAATGAGTTAAATTGTGCAGCACCTATCCCATCAGCTCCCGCAAATGATGGTAGTGAAATAGGAAGTGTGGCTGTGGAACTGCACGCTGCCCCACCTAATGCTGCGGAGGACCCCGTGTCAGTGATTGACTCCATCTTGAATGAGAACACCTCTGGAAACCAAAGTGATCCTTTACTGGACAGGTACTAACTCATTTCTGGGACCTTTTATGTCGGCATCACCTCAGCCTCAGGTAGGAAGGAGGGAGATGATGTGTCTCAGCACTCGGTGTCGCGAAGGCCCCGTTCTGGATTGTGAGCAGCCTAGCTCTCGCCTTGCTCCGCAGCCGTAACGGCTGAGAGATTAGCAGATCATTTCTAAGAGCTTTTCCTGCCTCGTGGTGCACTAGAAGGCTCTAACTGCTGACTGTTTCTTACAGTAATTTATCATTTTGTCTTTTTAGAGAAGAAATTCAGGATTTTCTTAATTGCATTGATGCCAGCCTTGAAGAGCTTCAAGCAATGTTGTCTGGGAAGCAGTATAACTTTGGTTCTGAATCTTTCAGCGATGTGAGTGTCTTTTCACTTTTTCTGATTTCTGAAAAATACCAGTGAGGTTGCATCATGAATTTTTACTGGTTTGTTCCATGTTGTAATGAGCAAGAAAAGGGAAAATTCTGAAAAGGAAATACTCGTGGATAGAACGATATATAGTCATTCTAGGAGCCTAACAATGTACAGGGTTACCCGTGTGAGCTGACACAGGAACAACCACAAAACCACAGATGAAATGCAAATAGTCAATTTACTCGTGTTTCCTCATGAACCGGGGGATCCCTGCAGCAGCACCCAGGTGCAGGCACTGCAGAGCTCAGCCCTTGCTAGGGAGCAAAAAGGTTTTGAACCTGCTGCTTCTCCCTCAGTATCAGGGACTTTCTGAGGCATAGTTTTCCACTGTGCTTTGATCTTTCCTACAGCAGGGCAGGAAATTCAAGTGTGTTCGATAAGGTGCCTCCAAGTCTGCCACAGAACTATGTTATCTGAACACAGATGTTCTACTTATCGAGCACACAAGGATAGACAACAATTAGAATATCTGTGTGTTTTGACACCCCAACTGCAAGCCACTTGAGCATGTGTACAGTCCTCCTCCCCACTCTTCCATTGTTTTCCCACACTAACACTGAGAGCTTTTTCCAGATCACACAGTGTTTCTGTCATATAAAGCTCAAGGGGGAAGGAAATAATTGGACTCTCTTCTTCTCAAGCCTTTGTCACATATCGTATCCTGATGGTGTGTTTGATGGAACTCAGCTATACGCCTGGCGTCACTGGGCAGTACCGGCTCCTCTTCGGCGGTGTCCTGCTGCGGGTCCGTGGGGAGACTGCCTTGGGCTTCAGCAGATGGAGTTGGGGGCTGGATCCTGCTGGCCCCTCAGGAGCTCACTGAAGTTTTAAGAACATTGCTATATGACATACAGTCTATTTTTTGCTTTCAGGCATTTAATCCTGACCTGCCAGCCCTAGATATGAGCTTGATGGAAACGTCCCCAGCTATGGAAAATGTAAGAGTAAGAGTTGCTTCAGTGGTGGGGAGGGTTAACATGATGTTGAGAACTAGATTTTAACTGATGTAGTTTGAGGGTAGGGACTGGACTGATAGCTCAAGATGAGACTGCCATTTTATCTAGTCACTTAATGTTTGGAGTTATCACTGTTGGCATATAGGAATTCAAGAGGATTCTCAGGATAATGTCACATCCCATGTTCCTAGCTGCAGTACACTCCCTGGGCTGATTTAAACTGCCACTTTGTATTGAAGAATGTGTTCTTTGCCTTCTGAATACACCTGACAACATAAGGAAGAGGGAAGCAAACTGGCATCTGATGAATCAGCTGTCTGTATCGGCGACTTTTTTGTCCTGTTACTTCTGTACCTTCCGCTCAGAATGAGGAGGGTAGAATAATCTTGTGGTTTTTTAGTCTAAGTGTTTTTGAGAACAGTTTCTTGGCTTGTTTCTCCTAGCCTCAGGGATTCCCATGATGACTTTTAGCCAAGTAATGACTAGGTCTGGGGTTACAGTTCAGGTGAGAGTGTGTCTTCAGTCTGTATAAAGACTGAAGGAAAAGTACTAAATGAAAAATATAATGCAATATATTGTAGTTGTTCTGAACATGGCTGCATGGAATTTCCTCAGAGAACATACAAAAGTTCAATGCAGAGTTACTTCTGAGAGCTCCCTGGCCCTCACGTGCAACCGTGGACCCATAAGTCAACTGTTTAATTTCTCTTCCCTCCTCCTTTCACATTTACTGTCGTTAACCAGTCAGTGGAGACTTGGGGTTTGTTGTTGCTGCTCAGCATTCTATCTTAACTCTCTGTCCATTTTGCTTCAGATTGGAAACTTGGCAGGGAGCACCGACGATCTGGGAGCGAGTGAGAGAGAAACCGCAGGAAGCAAAGGTGAGCAGGAAGGAACACTGAGAGCTGTGACAGTTCCAAACTCTTCCAAAACTGTGTTGAAATGGAATTTTTGTAGCCTGTAATATGTTTTATCTCCATCTTTGATCTGGGCTTAACATTTTCGTGAAGACTGGGTTGTTTCACTGATCTTGATGAAGCTGTGCCTCAATCTGAAGAGGCCTCATCCTGTGCCCCATGTTCATGTTAACTGTTCCCCTCTTCTCATCCGTGACAGTGGCACAATGGGTAGCAGGAGTGCAGGTGTCCTTGTGGAAGTGTCTTCTACATGAGCCATGACCCCCACAAACGCAGTGCTGCTCCGTGTGGCTGTTGCACACAGTTGTGGGGGGGCGGCTGGGAGCGTGCTTCGGATATTGATCCTACCAGGCGCAGGGGCTTGGCTCCCCTCTTGCTGCCATGAGTGTAGCTGGTCAGAGCTCGGCTGTGTGCTGTTCTTTAGCGATTCAGGTTCTTTGATCAGCCTCTCCAGTTCTCCTTGTCTGGAGTAAGAGCTGTCACTCACGTGACACGGGAGCCTGAAGTCTAACCTGTTTGTTTTCCCTCAGATATGCAGCTGATACAGTACAGAGCAAATCCTCTGCTTTCACTATTTGAAGAACTACCTTCAAGTGAAGCTGCAGGGAAGACGGAGGATCCAAAAGAGCTTCTGCTGCCCACCCTAAGTGAGAAACCTGCTCTTCCTCCTCCAACAGGGAGCGGAACTATCTTGGGGCCTCCAGCTCCAGCCAGCCAGGCGGAGCCTCTGGATGCCCTGGGCGTGGGTGACCCACCTCTGCTCTCGGACGATGGGAACGGAGAGTATAAACTCTTTCCGCTTCTGCTCCTCAGCCCTGTTGCTAACTTCATAGAAGAGGCCTCTGAGATAGAAACTTCTTGAACTGGCAGAACAGCTGTAACTGGCTTGGAAGCAATGGGTCAGCCAGAAGTTTGCCCTCTCACCTCACCTGCCTCCTGGGTGTCACGTTCTCTACAGACAAAAGGAAATTCTCCTTCTACAAGCAAAGAGTGTATCTGGAAAAACTGACCACAAGCTCAAAATGAGAGCTGGTGCGAGTGAAGGCACTGGGCAGAGGGGAAGAACAACCTCCCTGTAGACATACCGCAGTGTATTCCATAACTTTTTATCTGATATCCTTATTGCCAGAGGAAATCTGTTTGTATCCTGTTTATATAGTTTGGCTGGCTTTTGCGAGTTTTTGGGGGGGTTTGGGGGGTTTTGTTTGTTTGTTTTTATTAGCTGGATGGTAATGTGGTGCGTAATATTTTAAACATAGGTTTTACTCTTTCTGAGAGTCTGTTTCAATAGGTGGCTTGTCTGCTGTTTGGGAATTAGGATTGTTTTAAATTTTGTTTTTAATTTGAGATTTCTTTTTTTAATAGTTTGTGGCTGCAGTTGTTTGCATCTGCTTAGATCAATTCCGTATTCCTAGATTTGCTCCTAGGTACAGGGAACATTTTTCCTATGGAAAATGACATTTTAACTGTGGGATATTACTTTTTAACATGCTGACGCGCATCCATTGCCACGGATTGTAGATGTTGTGGTAGGAAGTGCTTGCCACCCTGCGTAATGCTGATTTCTCATGCACATTGCATGGCAGTTCTTCTAGGGTAACTTGCACCTAGCCCACAGGTCATGTGTCCTCAGAAATTTTGAGTACAACTGATTCACGTCTAGCAAAGTCTTAAAATGGGGAGGGGGGAAGAAAAGGCGTCATGAGGTCACTTGCATTGACATGAGACATTGCATTAAGATATCTCTTCTGCTTTGCAGTAGCTACTTCTTTACCTGACCTTGTATGAACTTCTTGCTGCATTTTCTGCTTGTGGAATCTTACAGCTAAATTAACTAGCTGCCCTTGAGTCCTCAGGCAATGAATTACCAAAACTAGTGTCTGCTTAATCAAAAAATATGTCCCAAAAATTCCTTTCTACGCTGTTTTCCTGGCATCTTTGAGCAGCTGTAATGTTGCCATCAGCCCCTGATGTCAGTGACATAGCAAGTTTTCCTTCGCTGATACCAAGTTTGTAGCAGCCCACACAAACCTGAAAGGCTGGCCTGGAAGCAGGTAGAAAACCCATTGTATAATATCACATGTTATTTCCTACCAGCACAGTTACTTGATATTTTTTTCAGTTTTAGAAATTTGGGCTGTTTTCCTAAAGGCTTTATTCCCTCTGAAGTTTCTGAACTAATAAGTTTTGAGTTCCTTTCTGTCCATGAATCCAAGGTAATTTGATATTCTGAAGCCTACTAGATAATGCATGTTATCTCTGCTGGCCTTACTTAATTGGGTTTGTGCTTCTTTGTCAAATCTTTTGAGTCGGCAGAGGAGGATCTTGCTACTGAGTGTGTGTATATATGTGTAATGCCTTCACCGTGTCATTTTATTCCCATGCTTCTGTAACTGTTCTCTACCTCGTGACCCTCCACGTTTCTATCTTTCAATTGTCTTTTGTCAAGTACGTCTTACCCTAGCTTTTTCTAGTATTTCTTTTGATTACTTCTTGAGACAAAGGGCTGAATAGTCTCAAGTTTTCATGAACTGAAGGGAGAGGGGGAAACAAGTAAATTGCCTATCTGTCTTGCGTTATTTTTTGAGTTTCTTCCCAATGACCTCAATTTTGCCAAGAGTGAAACAGTGAAAACAGGCTTTTCTTCTATGCTGTTCTGCCAGCATAGTGCAGCCAGTGAAGTTCTCTGAGCAGCTGATCTTCTGTAACTCTCACTTCCCGAGCAGGTTAGACTGAAGTGTAGTTCCTGTTATGGATTACTGTCATGTTTTTCCGTCATGGAGTCCTCTGATCTCAGCGCATCTCGCCATCATATATTTGATCTGATTGCATAAAAGTCTTTTAATACGTTTTCTCTCATAAGAAGTTAGGAAACCAAGGCTTAAGAAAACTGCAAATAAAAACTTGTGCATCTGTGTCTAGTTTATGTACTGGTCTAGGAATAGCATGTGTTTATGCAAGTTTCCTAAGGAAGATTGCAATGGAAAGGGGAAGGCTGAAGAGCAAGAAAACCCACATGCTGAAGTAATTAAACTCAAGAATTGCAAAACCGTTGCTCTGGTTTTTGTACATTCTTTTTGTATGCATGTTCCTGTATGTGCCAACACTTCGCAAACCTGTTTACTGAACTTTACTAGAACGGTGCTCTCTGGGGGACCTCATGCAGCTGCTCCTGCTTCAAACATGACTGAAATGCTAGGGTTACCCTGGCACCTGGTTTCAGAGCTGTCAGCCTGAGAGAGAAGGGGAAGTTTAGGTTTACTACTAACCCGTATTCAACCTACCATGGGATCAAGGCTGTGGGAACGGGACTGGCCACCCCTGGCAGCGCAGGGCCGGGCTGGCTGCAGACATTTGTGCATTGCCTGCACGCAAGGGCCTTGCAGCAGCACGAGTGTTCTTCATTGACCTGGGCAGAAAGGCCCTCGGCTCCATAGCCTGTCGATTAAAGCAATGTTCACTGGAGATAACACGAGAAGTCAGAACTAGCACAGAGAATCATAGAATGGCCTAGGCTGGAAGGGACCTTAGAGATCATCTAGTCCAACCTCCCTGTCATGGCCAGGGACGCCCCCTCTCGACTGGAGCTGGCAACACATGCTGACCGAGCGGGAATCGAACCCGCGGCCTCGGTGTTGATCCTTATTGCTCAAACCACTGAGCTAACCGACCCCCTAGAACTGTAGTGTCAGGCAGAGCTCAGATCTGGGCAGGGCACGCCCTGCAGAGCCCATGCTGAGGTTACTGCAGCTTTTGTGGAGTTTTCCTAGGAGAACTCTAGTCATCATTTCCACCACCAAGAAGGAGGATGTTAATATGAAAATACATGGCTCCCCTTCAAGATAAGTTGAAGGACAGGCAGAGATGTCGTTGCCAGAGCCACGGACAGGCTCCTTCATCACACTGAGCCGGACAAGTCTGTGCAGCACAGCAATCCCCACGCAGCGATGGGGTCTGCACAGCGACTGGCACCCACACGGTGACAGGGTCTGTGGCACAGCGAGGACCCGGTGGCCCAACAGTGGGTGCAGCACGGCCGATCTCGAACCTCTTGCTCTGCAACCCCATGCCGGCTGGAACCACTCTGCTGCTGCGACTTGATGCGCAAAGAGTTTGTGTTACGAGCACAGTTGCTTCACTGTAACACAAGTTTCCTTCCTCCTCCAGCATCAATGCACACAGCCACTGCTGTTACTTCTTGGTTTTAGTGTCCTGTACCTTGACTTCCACATGCTGAGAATTCACAGGATACACCCAAGTGTGGCAAGCACAGTGTGAGAAAGTGCCCCTCACATGTTCCTTCAGAATTGTTTTTCACGCTGCTCCAGACTAGCTCTCCCCACACAGGCCACGTCCGCCTAGCAATCAGGTTTTTTATCTCTGATTGCTGTGTGCTTGCTAACAGAGAGCTTTCAAGAGTAAGAGAAAAACTTGCTTTGAAAAAAAACTTACTTTCATCTATCTCTCCTGGACTGTATGATGCTACCTCATCCCTGCTCAGAATGTTCTGCAGTCTCTTAAAAGAAGATTGCTGATTTGAAAAGCAGTGTCCACGTTACCACAGTTCCCCAAGGCAGAAGCAAGAGCTCATCTTGCCATGCAGGAGGTGTCTGTACTCGCATCAGATAAAGGCCAAGAGATTTCTTCTCCCACTGTCCCTGCAACCATAAGATAAATGTAAATATAAGTATAAAGATATAAATACATACACATCTTTTCTTTTTTTGTTTGTCAAGCAGTCTGAGTTAGCACGTATGCTGCTAGTGACAGGTTTTGATGATTTAGGCTGAGTCAGTTTAGGCTTCCCCATCCCAGTGACTGCAGACTTGAGTTGCATCTCATGGAAAGTATCTGCCAGAGGAATACAGGGCTACAAGGGAGGAGCATGTGAAATCAGGTCCCAAAATCTCGTGAATCTGTGCTGAACCTTAGCCTCATCAAGCATAATATTTTCAGAAGCATTTAGACGTTAAGCTGGTTAGATGTCCTCTTTCATTACAGGTATAGCTGCAAGTATAGTAGCTGGTAAGAAATTAATTGAACAGATGATTCTCTAGGCCATGACTGATAAACAACCACAAGGATATAAAGATTTTCTAACCAAATAAAGGCATGAAAATTACATGTAGCAAAAGCACCAGCTTCAGGGAAACAGAGATCAGAATGTTATAACCAGAAAAGAACCAAACTCAAACTCATGCCAATAACATTGTCATTGTTAGATCAATGTTAGTAACAAGTAGTCAAAATCACACTTCTACATGCATATATGCTTTCAAGCACCATTATTTTGCAGAATGAACTATCAGTTACTCTAAGGTAAGAGCATATGTAAAAGCAAGCAATTGAAACGAAGGCAAATACCTCAAAAGCAAAGGAACAAGATAGTATCAGAGCTCCCAGCACGGCATACGCAAATATCCTGGGTTTAATGTTAAATCACATAACAACCTACTAAAGCTACTGACAAATGACAATATAGGTGGAGCCATCTTTAAACCATATATAAGACTGTAAGAAATATTTTCTCCACACGTTGCCACTACTCGAGGATGAGGTAGGCAGCATCAATCACCCCGGTGTCCTGTGCTCCCACAGACACAAATGCTCTCTTACCAGCACTGAAGGAAGGCTGTACTTCAGAACGTGGTCCAGGATTTTGTAGGCTGACTAATTATTCTCTTGCTTGCATTTGAGTAATGAAGGTTGGAACTTGAATGTAACAGTAGCACAGCACTCGTATCAATTTAGCTGAATACAATGATGCAGAAGAGGTTTCTGCCAGAGGAGCATCAGAAAAAGGAAGAGCTGCAGAAAACAGAAAAAGGTATGTAAAAATCTCTTCAAAATAATGTTTCAGTGGAGACCAGATAGTTTGCCTAGACAGGTCTAGCAATCAAGTGCTTAAATATATAAATTAACCATAACTAATCGTACCTTTACTTAATAATAAGACATCTCATTACATTAAGAAGTCACAATGTCATGGTCTCAAAGATTTCCTACTTTGATAAGTTCTTTGTTTTTTCTCTCTAGGCACATAATTGTTTACCTATTTCCAAATCAGCCTACAGGGAAATGCAGATGGCCCTAATCTATGTTTTAATTGGATGCAATTAATCAATTCAGCCAAGCAGCTAAATTGCCATGGGAGAAAGGAGGATCAATCTGTGATACAGAGTCAAAGTAGGTACATGCAGCTCTTGAAAACTGGTTGTTTCCAGATTTGTATACTTAAATTCCCTACCTCTTAAATGGGATACAAGGGCACCAAATAGAGTATTTCAGCTGGAGGGGACCTACAACAATCCTCTCTCTCACGGTGGTAAGATTTAGGGTGTTTCATGAATCTTAATATAAAACACAGTGGTGAGCTTCGCAGAAAAGCTGGTAAGCAAACGAATAGTAAAGATCTTGGTTGTTTAGCTCCCTAAGAGTACTCTCTCAGTCCTTCTTGTATGTAATATGAATATTGAAACTTAGTATTTAGAAAGTAATGCAAGGAGGAAAAGACGAAGAAATAGTTACTTAGGAATAAAAAGAAATAAAGGAAGCTTTTTTTAAAAAGTGGAATTAAAAAGCAGAAGGGCAAAACCATATAGTCAAAATATGAAATAGAGTAGAAGGTCTTAAACTTTCCTCTTTTCACCCTCTCTTAGGACTTCTGCCCACACCTCTGTGAGTCATTGAGATGCTTTTTTTCTGAAATAGAGGAAGCAGAAGCCATCAGCAGCTGTTCTGGCCCCTTGACAACAAGGCGAGCGAAGAAAAGGAAGAGTTCCTGACACAGCCCCTGTCTGGAGAGAGCAGGTCTGCTCACTGCGATGGGGAGAAGCTGCAGCCCTGGAGGGATGAGAGCACTGATGAGAGCAACTGTGCTCCTGAGCCCGCTCCTCCTCTGCGACGGTGAGTCCTTGGGGAGGTGTCCTGCTCGGGCAGCGCCTACCCTGGCACTGGGGTGTCTGCGGGTGCTTGTACAGGGGTGCTTCTGTTTCGGGAAGAGAAATATAGCAAAAAGGCCAAGGTCTTTGCATGCTGCTGGCTAGGTGTTTGGGTGTTTCAAATCCAGAGGTCACCGAGCGCAACGGTGCGTGAAGGCTATGGAAATGCTGCCCATGTGCCTCGAGTACAAAGATCCCACAGACACTGTGATGGTTGTTTTGTGAGGCACAACGAGCAGCCCAGCAGGAAGGGTCTGGTCAGTTCTTATGTTTCCAGGCAAGGGGAGGTTTCCGTGGAAGCACAGGTTCATCACCAAGATGCACAAAAACACGCTGGGACAGAGACAACAGATCTCCTTCCTACAGGAAAATTCAAGGTGGTTTAGACTTCTCTGATCCGTTGCTTAAGTTGCTTAAATTCAGCTTAGTCTGAAAAAGCAGCAGCATCCAGAAGAACAAATGGGCAGTGGAGGAAAAAAGCCCTAGGATAGCAGTTCCCATGTGGTGCTTCCCAGGAAAGCCCTGAGGGTGCTGTGGGGTGGCAGGACGCAGGCAGCTGTGACCGGGGACCTGCGCGACCTGGGCTGTGAACCCCTTCTGGCTGGTCCAAGCCACCACCGACTCTGCTCCTGTGCCTCTGCCCAGTGTTAGCTCCCGACAGGTAAGCACCAGGCAGAGCACGATCCAGGCCCAATGCGCGGCACATGTTGGTGCCCTGAGCATTTCAGCGGTCTCCTGTCTCTGTCCTCCTCATGCCACATTGCTTTATTGTTAGCACACGCCTGAACAGATCATCCCTCATAGTCCGCATTGGCTGCCCGCGCTTTTGATTGGGTGGGTTCCGTCTGCTGATGCTCTCAGCACCGCTTCCCAGGAGCTGCCTTCACTGTGATTGCTTTTTTTAAACGAAAAATTTTCTCCATTCTTCCTGCAGCTTTTCTGGACCTGACTGGTCCCAGTGAGATCAAAGGCACATGGAAGGGACCTACCACCTTGCCATGTGCCTACGTGCCCGTGAAGGACTTTGTGCAGCAAACGCTTACATGGATGGTGGTACATGACCACAGTTCCGGCACTGTCTTTCGAAGGGATGTCTCTGGTGACCATGTTCTCCTGTCAGAGTACAGGGACAGGGTCAGTGTCCAGAAGGACACACCAGGAAATGTGTCTCTGCACATCCTGGACCTGGAGATGTCTGACAGCGGAACCTACACTTGCCAGGTCACCTGGAGAACCAGCAACAACAGCCTGATAACAAAACAGATCAACACTAAAGTGAAGGTTCTTAAAGGTAAACCCAAGAAGGATGCTGCACAGGGGTGGAAGGCTTGGCTCGGGAAGGCTTTTAGGAACCGAGCAGAGCAAGCAGGCAGTGACTGCCCGCTGCAATCGGGAGCATTCTGCTGAGCGGTGTTGGGCTTGGCAAAAAACATCAACTAGTTCAGAGTGGGGAATTCAGCCCACACACTGCGCCCTGCAGTCCGGGAGCTGGGGAGGATTTACAGCCTCTCGCTCACCAGTTTGTGCCTGGCTCTGCCCGTGCCTGGTGGCTTGGTGTTCCTGAGGGACCCACACCGGAGGGGAAGTCCCTGGTGTAGCACTGCGTTGCCCCAGCCAGAATCCACCAGCACGTGCCCCTGCACCCCCCG